TGTATAAAATAAGAACATGGCTACTGAAGGCTTTCTTGGCTTATGGGGCTATTTTCGAGAAGAAATGTTCAATGCCTGCAAAGCATTCTGCTTCCTGGGTATAATTACTGAGACAATGGAGCACATTATTTTTATAATTCGGACTTTAGAATCGACAGACTCTCACAGCTCTCAAGAAGTGGCACTGGACCCTGCTTCTGACAGAAGGACGTGGGATGAGCCCCAAGTCGAGAGATACACACCAGCTCTGGATGCTTTTTCTGGCAAACATCACACACGTGGCCACCAGCAGAACGACATCCAACATAGACATCCACTTTTTTTCAGCTCAGAAGTTCCACAGGCAGGTGACTAACGATGCCCACAGATGGAGGAGTGTGTTCTGTGCCCTAAAGGATCAGTGTTCATAGGCGGGATAATTCCCAATGCTCTTGGGTTGCCTAATTAAATATGTCACACTGTACATATGTGAAGGAAATGGATGTGTGTAAAAAATAAGGATTGTTCAATATAGGAAAATAAGATAAAATTTTCAGATTTAATTACCCTGGGTCAGCTTACCTCCTTAAAGTTTTCCTCTCTTTCTTTTTAGCAACTTGAAAATTTAAACATATATAGTAAAATATTATACTCTGTAAAATATAGAGTATAATAGAACAAATATTAATATTATACCAGCTTTTAAAAATAACCAGAATATGATAGGCCTTTCTCACACTTTTCAAAGTGCAGCCCTGTATTAAAGGTACACTTATTCTTTCTGAGAATTACCAACCATAGTTGAGATGCCTGAACAATAAAAAGCATAACTCAATTACATTTGCTGGGTTTCTTAGCTGGATTCTCAACCACTCCTAACTTGTTTATTTTACTTCCAAGTATGGATCTCCTAATGGACTGTTGTTAGGGTCTAGAAACATTCCATTTGTTATATCATTGATTTTATCTGACATACTGGCAAACATTTGGATTACATTTTAGCAAAGAGAAATAAAATATGTAGTGATTGATATATAGAGTAAGCTGAATAGCCTTCATTTTATTTAGTGCTAATGATACATAAGGCAGATTTAATCCTAATTCACCAATGAGCTCTGCCTATAGAGAAACTACTGTTCTGGGACCAAACCCTCTACCCCCAACCCAAATCAAACAATGATTTGATTGGTCAAATCATCTGCACAATGTCATCATTAGTTACCAAGAGACCCACTAAAGATGTAGGTGGGCAGGGGCCATCTCACCTCACTGCCAGGGAAGAGTGGGAAGCATTTAATAAGCCCTCATCACAGCCTCACGTGCCATGCTAAGCCCTTCACATCTACTGACACATCAAGTTCTCACAACAGCCCTCTGAAGGGGGCTTCTTAGTCTCCACATGTTACAGAAGCACAGACAGGTTAAGTACTTTGTCCGAGGTCACACAGCTGCTAAGAGACTGACCCAGGATTTGAACCCAGACAGTCTGACTCCACCTTCATGCTCTTAAATACATTGCAGCATCTCTAATAGAGCACCTACAGCCAAAACACAGGAGCTTCTGGATGGCAAGGGCGAGATCATATTTCTTCTGTATTTTCCATGTATTTGCATAATGGCTAAGTATTTAATAAATGATAGCTGAGCTGAATTCCTATCCAAGGTCAGCATTATCTCTTTACATAATAAATGCAGAGTATTTAAATAAAAATGTAAATGTTAACATCATATTTCATGTCAGCATTCTCCAAGGGAGTCTTATTGGCTTAGCACACAGAGGGCTCCAGGCTGGGTGGCGCCTAGAAGGCCTAAATGGAAACTGCTTGTCTTGTATTCTTTGCAGAATTACTAATTTCTGCTCCTTACCTGAAGAGGCACAGAATTATGCTTCCTGTTGCAAGAGACATCAGAGAGACACTGTAGCCCAGGGTGTAAATGGCCTTCACCAGAATATAAAACGTGATCTACAAAGAAAGAAAATGGATCTGTAAGCTGAGGGTGACCAGCAGCACCAGACAACAGGAACGGTTCCAACATCCAGCCCTGTGCTCTGGCCATGAAGGACTCTTGCCTGCCTGGAAGGCATAAGACAGTCTCACTTTATAATTCCACCTCCATTTTGAACCAAAAAATGACCCCCACCACTCAGAACCTCTACTTTTTTCTTATAATTCATCATGAATGACTTTGCATGGTTCCCGTAAAGCACCTCTGTCTGAAGGGAACATGACCCGCCACCATCAGGGAAAGCAAAGGAAGGAAGCGCTGAGCTAAGTTCAGAAAGAGAGCTCAGTCTGTCCCTGAGGCAGCACATCTAGCTTTCTGACACTTCTGGATGAGCTCAAGTGGACACACAGGTCTGAGTACATTAAACACTATGACCTACAGGCACAGGGTGAGGTGCTCCAGACAGAGGTACTTGCCTAAGCCAGAGCCAGGTGCTGAGTTGCAGTATCTTGGGAATTTTATTTCCTTAACATTTCTTGGTTTAGCAAGGTTCATGGCTTGATACTTTTAATCTCCATGAAATCATCAGGCACAGGAGGGATTCATGATCATCACTGTGGCAGAATCACTGGGAGTTCTATGACAACAGGGAATCCTACACAAAAAGAACTGGGTCCTCTAGAAGGAAAACCAGTGCTGGTCATGATAAAACCAGCAACACCTGCAGGGCATCATCATAGCTTGCCACTCCCAAAGGCTGCTTCCTGGTCTGCATTTTCTTGATAAAGCTAATTCATATAAAATAAAGAGGGAAACAATCCACGTGTGCTTACATGATGAATTTTATTTTTGCCAAGAGGTCCTAAGTAAGTACAACCGAACCTCACTGTTATTTTACAATACAAAATTTAAGGCAAAACTCAAAAAAGTTATGCTCTTGTTTATTAGTTTGGCTCTTAATTATAACTTTACTGTTTAATTATTATTTAGAACTTATTAACCCATTTACTTTGCATTACAGGAATCTCTTCTTAGGAACCTCGGCCCTGCTTACTTAGGACAGCTCAGAAAAGAGAACAGAGTAGTCCTGGCCAGATCCCTCTTCCTTGCTATTCCTCATCCTTCCTGACTCCACTCATGAGAAGATGTCATTAAGTACCACCTAACCACACTCTCACCTCACCTAACCATCACATCACTTTACCCAACCACCACCCTCACCTCACCTAACCACAAGTCTCATCTAACCCATACTCCATCTAACCATGACCCTCACCTCATCTAACCACCATTCTCAACCATATTTACCTCACTTAGCCATAATTCTTACCTCACCTAACTGCCACCCTCACATCACCTAACAATCACTTTCATCTCACCTAACCACTCTCCTCACCTTATCTAGCCACCACTCTCAACTCATCCAACCCACACTCACTTCACTTACCCACCATCCTCACCTCACGGAACCCATCTTCACCTCACCTAACCACTAACCTCACCTCACCTAATCACCACCTTCACCTCACCTTACCACCACCCTCACCTCACCTAACCACCACTCTCAACTTACCTAATCCATACTCACTTCACCTAACCACCACCCTCACCTCACCTAACCACCTCTTCACCTCATCTAACCACCACCCTCACCTCACCTAATCACAAGTCTCATCTAATCCATACTCTACCTAACCATGACCCTCAACTCATCTAACCACCATTCTCAACTCATCTAACCATCTCCTTCATCTAACCACCATCTCACTTCACCTAACCACTCTTCTCACCTCACCTAACCACCACTCTCAACTCATCTAACCCACACTCACTTCACTTACCCACCATATTCACCTCACTTAGCCATAACTCTTTCCCCACCTAACTGCCACCCTCACATCACCTAACAACCACTTTCATCTCACCTAACCACTCTCCTCACCTTATC